CACACACACACACACACACACACACACACACACACACACACACACACACACACACACACACATGGATTAGGGCAAGCAGCTCCTTCATGACCGATTATGATTCATATGTATGTAGGCAAATGTTTTCCCGGAGCTCCCCAGACAAACTTTCCGGACCCACCTCTTCCTGCTACTTGTTGTTAAATATTGTTCAGAGACTCAAGTGGGAGAAAAGAGAAAATGTATAGCTGCAGTAGGCGTGACTTCTTCTTCTTCTTGTTAATATTATTATTATTTTCTTTTGGCATGCTCACTCTCAAAGTGACCTCAGGTGTGTGCGCCACCGAGCTACACCTTTATCTAGACTACAACTTTTTAACGAGAGTGATAAATGGAAGATTCACAGGAAGTGACGGTGTGACAAATTTGGACCTTGTGGGATGTTAAATATTAATCAATCCCGGCTTCTTCTTCTTCTTCTTCTTCTTTTTAAAAAACCTACCCACATGTTTAACTTGTATGAAGTGTAGTTTTATCATATGAATCCGTGCTCTCATGCATATTCAGTCCATGGTGCAATTCTTATTATCATGCTTAGATAATCGTCATATGATATGACTGATGTGTGTTCATGTCAATCATAGCTTTTATAATGTGTGTGCGTATTCTTGTGTTTGTAAATAAGTGTAAAAGTAAATTCCGGCGTGATATCCAGGTTGTGTGTGAGTCCCAATATGTCGGCGTTAAAGTCCGTCCCAATAAAATATGGACTTGGTTGAATTTTATCTAAGTTTTTATCCTTTGAGTTTATTTGAGTGATTATAGCTCAATTTAATATAAACATTATTTTTCCTTTAAACGTATTTACCTTACTTAAGAACAAAAAAAGGCGAATTTTCCTTTTTTACGAAATAGGAATTTAAAATACGATGAAGGCCCGCAGATTTGCTGTAGAGACGCACAGCCAGCTTTTACAGTTATACTATCTCGTAGTGGCTTTGCTGGGTTTGAGGTGAACTTTATCCAGAAATGCTATATACAAATTCTATTTAGAAAGTCAAATATTTGAACTGTGCTGTAGACTCCCGTTTGGCTGTGGGATTAGAGGAAATAAATCAGTTGAGGCTGGTCTGTGCTGAAATATAAGCTTACATCGCCATCTAGTGACGACTGTGGAAAATACTGTAGTGGTCAGGACATCCCATTCAAAGCTTAGAGGCCTGAGTAATAATAATAATAATAATAATAATAATAATAATAATAATAATAATAATAATGAACTTAGTCAGTAGCCCTAGTGTTTTAGCCTTGACTTTGACC